GGGGGGGGGGCACTGTCACGGTGACAGAGATCGTAGTTAGGTGACAAGGAACGGCAGATCGTACACCGCTTACCACTCCGCCCTTCGGGGGAATGTATGCAGCCAGCATACTAGGTAGGTAGTTAGTAACAATGCAACAACAATCATCCTCGTCTAGATCCTTGAATACCGTCACAATGTAGTTCCATTCTGGGACTGCAAAATGTTCCCGATGGACTGAACAGGATGGTCATCCTAAAATCCATTCTTCTGGACATAGCTAACAAAAAGACTCGATCGCTGACTACTCATCTTGCTCCCTCAAAGAGAAGATAGAGACTCGCGTGCATTTCTGTCTAGTAACTCTGAGGCTTAAAGCTAGCGGCAGAAGCTTGAACATGGCCTTGGATGCAGTTCGGGAAGCAGAAAGTGAAGCCAAATTCGAAGAGACAAATCTGGCTTCACCCCGGAAGAGCGCCACGCGGCTACAATGCAAATCTCCAACGATTTAATCAATGGTACCCCAGCCAAGGATAACAAGAATAAAGACCAGAAGAAGCAAATAGACCCTGTTGGGGCTGACCACTTCAGAGATGAGAAAGATAACATACTCAACTCCGGCCGAGCTTTCCGCTTTACAGACAAATTCGTTGTGGCCAAGGCGTTGCTAAACCACCGTTTGCGACCCCAATTCTTGCGAGGTGTAGCTTGACCCACATGCACCATAGTGGAGGAATCCATCTGCATAGTCTTTTGCTCGTTTCAATGCGTTGAGTGTCCGAGACACAAGCTACCTGGATTTATAATTCCCAAGGATGCATACAGTGCATCAGCTTGGGCGGGAGACCGAGAATACACACATCACTGAGCCCACGCGGTTGTGATTGAGCGTGAACACTCCCTTTTTCCCCTAAGAAAGGCACTGCTCTTTAGCAGAAAAGGGAAGTAAGCCCCGAAAGCACAAAAACAAGAAGAGGAAGGAGAAGAAGAAGAGGCACGGGTCCCTCTATCAATAGCTCGGTCAATTTGTTCATCTTGTCAAAAACTGCGTCCCTTCCTCGAATTGCTCTTGTCAACATGCCTGGAAACATCATCTCCCACTTGTATTCATCTTTTCAACTCTATCTTCCATCTTACTATAGCTTATTCTCTATTCGATAAATAGTCTCTCTACTTCAGACACCTAGCAGCAGGAATCCTTGATGCACTCAATCCGCGATCACTTACTGATGTCCACTGAACCTCTCCGGCAACTGAGCTTTCATGCTTGAGTCGCGCCTTTACCCTGAAGAGCAAAACCTCCGTCCTGACCGAGCAGCTCGGAAGAATCGAGTTCTGGTATCCCCAAACTCGAAAGACGCCAAGTATGAGACTGTTCCTTCGGGATCTAGAAACAGCAAACAAGCACTCACAAGCACATTTAACCATGGCTGAGCATCTTTGGGTCAGCAACAGCGTCAACAGAACCGTCGATATCATCTCCTTCGCTGGAGAGTATACCCCATTTGGCTTTTGCGTTTTTGCTTGCTATGGTGGCGAGAGATGCGAAGACCGACAAGATAATTGCTACGCTTCGTTTGGCTCACGAAACAATGCTCTCGTGAAAGAGCTATTGCGAATAAGCGATCATCAAAGGGGGTTATAACGATGTCCAACATTTGCTTGCAGCATTGCATCATTTCACTCAATTTCTAGGCACCGGATTCGGTACGCGCCTCTTAGGGCTCTCGAATTAACCTACCTCAAACCATAATCAAATGTACTGACGGAAACCCTCATAATTCACATTGCTGTGTCGCAACATTGGTAGCATGTCACGTTCGAAATGGAAGAGTCCCCCATACACATGCTTGCAAGCACCAAAGATCACTAGTCCCGACACAGTCGCGCTGAGGTAGTTGGAACAGAAAGCCATTCGGCCGGTGCGCTGAGAGCTATCCAGCGCAGGGCCTGCTCAGCCTCATGCAACTCATCCGGATGGAAGGCTTGTCTAGATGGGTTGACGCATGAGACGCTCTAATTCCAATCCAGGGCCCATAATGAACACTGGCACTTTATAGTTCTGCACAAGAAGTATTTGCGCGGCCGCCCACCCCAACCTCCTCCCACTATATAGATTTTTACATAACAAAGATGCTTTAAGTCCTGAAGCGCTGGAACTGTCGATCAACAAAACCGCGCATATAGCGGGGCATGCCTGCCTATGCCTAGAACCGCCTTTTCCTAGCACATGTATCAAGCACTCGATTACCGAACTCCGTGCACGCTTCGCTTCGGTCCATCCCAAATGTTCGCTGCCGAGGTTAAGTTACCTCTCGCTGCCCCTCTTTCCTGAACTCCCTCTGAACCACCTCATGATTTGACTGCGTGCGTTGATAGTCTGAATAGCATCTATCACCTTACTTACTATTCACCGGTAAGGATATATATAATCTTAGTAAGTAGTCATCAAAGAGAAAAGTGGCACGGAGCTGAAACCTGAACAAGGAAAAGATAAGGCTTACTATTAGACCCATTGATAGAAGAGCTTAATCAGACTAATTTGTTGACTATTAAGTTAGTCAACTAATATACTATTTAAACCCACCACCACGAACTCAGTCCTTGGGCCAGAGACCATCGACCAAAATGACCACGCTTGCCAATACGGGCGAAGGTCCGCTCCAGGTGCCTGGATTTGGCTCCATCCCCTTGGACAACCAGCTCCCGCCAGAGGCCCGCTTCGCCCATGGGCTCGTGGACTATCGCCACTCCCCTCGACTGACCAGACGCGAGATGGCCATGCTGCGACTCATGCAACGCATTACGGAGCAGCCCGAGTGGGATCGGGCTATATTGGACTCCGACGAACCCCCACCCACGCATTGGCACCAGGACGCCACGGAAGGACTCGAGGGCTTCCTCATCAGTGCTGCCGCATAGGATTGGTGCCTGGCCGAACTGCGCGATAAGGCCGGGGAGTGGCGGAGAACAGGACGTCTGTTGATTTTTGACAGCTCCTCGGTCGTGTGTCGATCCGAGGTGTCAACCGACTGTCCCCGGGCCGGAAAGACGAGCTTAAAGAAGGGTTCCGAGCCGAGGTAGCCCGATTGCGCTCACAGTCGAAACATCCAGATCGGCCCCTGGTGGATCCATGCCTGTATCCGCTCGTCTATGGCCACTCTAGGGTTCTCGTTCACGGCGGGCAGGTGGCCTTGGGCGATCTGTGGAGCTCGGAGGGGGGTTCAGTCGGGGACATGCCGCCTCCTCCTCCTCCTCCTCCTCCTCCTCCTCCCCCAGATGGTCTACAACGTCCGATAACTCCTTATACGGGTTTACATCGCAGGATCGCGCTCGGTGGGCAGGAGAGCTGCTGGTCGAACCGCTTTCAATGGCTTCCCTGTGAAGGACTGCGCGACGACCGCATTGTTGCCACCAGCTTTTATACTGTGGAGGCCAAAAATGTAACCCCGGCTCGCGTGGCGTTTCAGCACCAAGACAAAGTCCATGCCAGTGAGCTCAACGAGTGTGAGGTGCCCCCGGCGCTCGCGACGGTTCTCGATGTGGAATACTGGGAGCCCTACATACACCGAGAAGAGACCCCCGCGCGCCCTGCATAGCTTCGGCACGACGCCGATCAGAGAGGACCAACTGCTGACCTGGCCCAATACTTATCGCACCAAGCAAGAGCCCTTTGGCCTGGTGGACCCCAGTCGGCCGGGGCATTTGACCCTGGTCAAGCTTCCTACCGCATTTGCTCAACACGGAATGTGCCTCCGCAACAGCATGACTGATGGGCCTCAGCCGCGAGAGAGGCAGCCCAGCTGGATCGGCGCTTACCGTCAGAGCTAGTGTGTTCTGTAATGGAACACATTGGACATCCGCCGATGTCTGCGACCGAGGCAGAAACTTTGCGTGGAGAAGTCCTCGGCGACCACGAGCGTGCCCGAAAGGCCGTTGATGCGTGCGTGGGGCACCATATTGTCACGTTTCTCCCTTACGATGAGAGAACGGCACGACGGGCGAGGGATGCAACAGCTGGTGCTGGATATGAATCACCATAAGATCTTGTCCCTTGATCTGGTTTTTGGGTGCGGGTAGTAGGCTTCCCGCGGGGAGGCGATCATGATGCTCTGCCGGTGTTGGGTGGGTTGCAGTATATGCGTGGGAGAACCTCGGCTTCGGGAGCAGAAGCAGAAACGAGACGGAGTACTTACTCGGTGTAGAGTCCAGACAAGACTCTAGCAGCACGGAATACGAGCAAGCTATAAAATTTGTATATGTGCTAGTAGGCTTGGACATACTCATATTGAGACACGGATTAGGGTAAATATAGATGTAAAGTATATGAACAAGAATGAGAATAGAAATGGACCCTGAAATCACCACGCTGTGTCAATGTGCTTTGCTTTTCCGGTTCCGCGTTACCCTGAAGCCAAGCCCAACGCCATATTGTGAGACACGTATGCACGCCAAAGAGATAAGGACTCGTGAGAAGAAGGAATGTCAAGGTATGTGGAAGCTGACTAGGCGGGGTGGAAAAGGATGAAAGGGAAAGGGGGGTGGAAAGGTAGTGGGGCACCAGAGGCGCCTGGGGTATCTCAAGAAAGAAAAGCAGAACACTTTCATCATCGAGAAAGGCTCACAAAACTCCGCCAGGTAGATTGATTTGAGCTTGTCGCCCTTCAAAACCAGCACTATTCGGCGCTGACCCGCTACCGGTGGGATACATGTTGTTCTCCGGTGGATGGACTTGTTTCCGCAGCATGAACATCGGCTTCCGTCCTTCGTTCTGGAGTTGCTTGAACAAGATCAACGGTCTCTCCTCTAGCCCGAGACATCGTTCCTGGTCACCATAAACAATATACAGTGCGTATTGCTTCCAGTCCGCGTTGATGTTGTACTTCTTCAAAGCGGCGGGGAGGACTTTATGGCAGGGGTCATCCAACGATACTCGGAAAGACTTGAAGATCTCCACGCTCGGAGGATCCCCAGTTGCTCGAGAGTCTGACCGTGTCGGGAGGTCAGGGCGCGTGGCTTGCGTTGGGGTAGGATTTAATCGGTCGGAGCGGGATTGGGTCGGAGGCGTGTCGTCGTGGTGGTTGTGAGAGGCGTGGTTGATGCTGGCCGAACTAGGCTGTGAGTAGGCCCGTGAGGCCAGAGTCTGCGTGTGGAGGTTGCCTGGAGAGGTCGGCGACGGAATTCCTGGCGATAACTGGGCCTTTCCGTTCATCATAGCCATGTGGGATGAGTTTGCCGTGGACGGATCCAAGCCACCGCCGTCCCCATACATGCGTCCTTCGTGGATGGAAGGTGGGATATAAGTGGGTGAGCTGGTTTTGGGGGTAGTCCCGCCGGTGTGTCCTCTCTTGGAGAATGTCCTCGAGAGAATCGACCCCGAGCGATCCAGGAGCGTGATTCCAGAGGGCGAAGTCAGATTCGGGGGCTCGTGATATGTTTCTGTGCCAGGTGCGGGGACCGCCGATGGGGGTGGCAGCGGTTGCGATCGATCCTTGGCCATCTTGAAGACGGGTAGGAGTTCCTCTCGCAACCGACGATAGTCGTCTGCCATGCGCCGCAACTCTGCCTCCACGGTGACTATGCGTTCGTCTCGCAATCGGATGGACTGAATCAAACGAGCGACATCGTCTTGAGTGGCACCTTCGTTCATACTTTGGTCGGCAGCTATGCAATCGAACGTCAGCGGACTATTCCAGTAGCCAGTCGAGGGATACACGTACAGAGTGGAATGTAATGATCGGCGTCCAGCGGAATGTCTTGCTTGACCTTGGTCTCGTACACACTCTTGAGGATGGTCAAGCGGTGCCCCACACTAGCGATACCCATCTCTTTCAATTCGTCATGTTTGAGTGCGATAAGCGCTTCGCCAACGATTTCGTTCTCTGTAGAACCCAAGAGTCAGCACGGATGAAGAACCTTGGCCGCGCCGAGGAATATCATCGAAGAGACACACCTAGAAAAGCCGCGCAGTACTGACGCAGACCCAAAGCGGCAACGAAATGTGCGCACTCTTCGGCCGTCCATTCTGTAATGATTGTCTTAGGCGAGCGAGGGTTATCGTCGAAATTGGCCAGGGTGGTCGGGGTATGTTCGGCGGAGGGAAACTCGGACTCGGAGGGGGAGGCTTCCGAGTCAGTGGCTAGGTGAGGGGATGTGATGACACTGCGTTCGTACTCGTCGTCTGCGTCGGAGTCGGCGTGGTAGGAGGTGTGGAGAGACATGGTGGATGAGGATCAATGACCGGCAACGACGCCCAGCACGAAGGGGGGACGGACGTCGGACCGGTTTGGGGGGGTGAATGAGACGGCGCCGGGTGTAGCACGAGCGAAGTTAGGATGGAGGGAGCACGATCGAAAGGTATCAGACTGTCTTGGATGGATTCTGGGCGAACAATGGAGGAACTCTCAATAGCGCCGGTGATGAGTTTCAGGATTCGAGGTTCCGGGTCGGAAAGCGGCTCGTGTCAGATACGGCGGGGGTGGTTGGAGATGGCTGGGATGAGATGTGGGGGATAGACAGGAGACAGCCGTTGACGACAGTCAAAGTCAAACCTTCAAGGCGAAAGAGGGATCCGGCGAGTGGTGGATGATGGCTGTGATTGCGAGGAGTGGAGTGGAGTTCCTGAGGCCAACAAGGCTAATAATCACAGGCATGCAGCCAGAGCGGGGAAGCTGGGGGGGGGGAAGAGGGAAGGATGAGGAGGAGATCGGAAATGTGATGACGGCCACGGTGGAGGTAATGAAGGTAGAAGAAAACGAGGATGGTAGAGAGGGGGAAGAGAAATCTCTCTATTGTATTGAAGAAATAATAAAAAGGAAGCAGAAGAGGAGGAGGAAGAAGCAGGTCAGTTGAAAGTGCAGCAGCAGCAGCAAGCAGCAAGCAGCGAGGCAGCTGGTTGGGCGCGGAGTAGCGAACGAACCGCCGAAAGGGAAAAAGAGGCGCTTCGATGCGTGGATCGCCGCACGTGATCTTCCGCGGTCTGGACCACACTGACTTGGGAGGGAACACTTATAAGTTATCTCCATCTATCCTCCATCTGATCTATCATCGCACACAACATGCAATCGAAGCACTGAGGATATTCCCACTGGGGCAATATCACCGTTATCCTCCCCTGGGAAAGACCACTTACTAGTCTATAGTCTATCCTCTATCATCTCCATCAAGACGATCCATACTATGGGATCCATGATAACTTCCCCCTTTCCCGAGTCCATCCATCACCACCACCACCACATCCAAGCTCAACTATCCCATATCAACCCCCAATATTCCGATTCCGATATAGAATTAGTATCGGCGCCAAGCCCACAAATGTCTCTTCTCCCCTGGATTATGGGGGAGACTAGCGAGGGAACTATTTCGATTCCAAGTTCGGACTAACCGAGGGAAAAGAGCCCAAAGCTCCTCCCACGATATTGTGCTGCCCTGTCAAAAATCCAATAGTGCCGGAGCCTTGACGTTTTTGGGGAACTGGGGCCTTTCGCTCTCCGCCGCCGTCATCGTGCCATGGCTTTTCTTCTGACTTATTTTTGTCTTGTCTTCTCTCACTCTTTTTAAGTTATTAACGCGCGCCCTCATTAACTGACTGAATTATTGGCTCCTACAGATCCTGGCCATGTTGGCCAATGGTCTTGTTTTGCCGGGCTGCGATGTCTTTGCCAGCCCTATATCAACCGGAACGATATTAATAAATAAATAATCTGTGCCTGCA